GGACTCGGGGTGCTCCTCCCCACGCGGTGCCTGTCCCCGAGGCTGGCTGCTCGGGCCCCTCCCGGCAGCGGAGTCACAGCGTTTGCTCTTTCGGGTCTGACCTCCGTCCTCAAGGTTCGTCCGCGCTGTGGCGGGCGTCACAGTGTCCTTCCTTTTATTTATTTTTAAATGTCATTTTATTGATGTCAGAGAGGAAGGGGGAGGGAGAGAAAGAGAGAAACATCCATGATGAGAGAGGATCATGGGTCACCCGCCTCCTGCACGCCCCACGCTGGGCATGGAGCCCGCAACCCGGGCCTGTGCCCTGACTGGGAACCGCACGGTGACCTCCCCGTTCATAGGTCGACGCTCAGCCACTGAGCCCCGCCGGCGGCCTGCATCTTCTTCCGTCAAGGCTGAGCCGCCCTCCCTGTGTATATGCACCGCGTTTTGTTCCTCTGCCCGTCTGTCCACCGGCACGGCTGCTCCCACCGCCTGGCGAATCCTGCTGCGGTGCACGTGGCTGAGCGGTTCCCCCCACGCCTTCCAGTCCTCCCACCGCGCTCGCACTTCCACCTGGAGCGCTGCCTGGCCAAGCAGCCGGTGCCTGCGTCCCGTGTGTCGCACGATCTCGGGAAGGCGGCCACGAATTCTCCCCGCATCCCAGCGGGAGTGCTGAGCGGCCGGGGGACACACGTGTCCGTCCCTCCGTCCGTCAGGGGAAAGGGAGCTTGATGCGGGCTCGCATAGATCAGGAAGAACACGGCGTGTGGATTTGCATATTTTCCTGGTCAGTTTCACTCAAACATCCTTCACGAATGCAGGCAACTCAGTACGTGTCCGGGAGGACACCCCAGAGCACGAGCCGCCACCTGCCCACAGAAGTGCTCAGTGGGCCGGCTGGTGTAGCCCAGTGGGAACCAGGAGGTCACAGTTCGATCCCCGGTCACGTGCGAGGGTTGCAGGCTCGATCACCAGTGTGGGGTGTGCAGGAGGCAGCCGATCCATGATTCTCTCTCATCATGGATGTTTCTATCTCTCTCTCTCTCTCTTCCTCTTTGAAATCAATTTAAACATATACATATCCTCCTATATAATAGAAGGGTAATATGCAAATTGTCCCCTCTACTGGGAGTTCCACCTGGGTTTGACCACAGGGCGGGGCCAGCACACCAACCACCCAGGGCCACTCCTCCCAACCAGCCCCACCCCTGATTGGCCCCCCACACCCTGATCAGGGGAGGGGCCTGCTCGCCAACCTCCCGTGTCCCCTCCCCCTGGCCTGCAGGCCGTTCGGGGCCGGCCAGACCCCACCCATGCACAACTTCGTACACCAGGCCTCTAGTATGAGCTCAATGAAGGGAAACATGCAAAAGGCTGCTTCTCTTCTTTTCTTTGAAATACTGTTAAAAGCAAAATGTATAACATTGTAGGTGGATGGAATACTTTTGACAACTATAGCTTCTTTATTAAGATAAAAGTCACCATTTTAGAGTGTGGCATCAGTGGCACCTAGCACACGGACCCCACAGGCAACGGTCACCACTATCTGGTCCCCCGAAAGGGACCCGCCCATGAGCACCCCTCCACCCTCCATCTCCCAGCCCCCCACCCCCATGA